ACACACACACACACACACACACACACACACACACACACACACACACACCAACAAACATCCCCCCTCCAAAAAAAGCAAAAAAAAAAAAAACAAACAGCCAACCAAAACAACCCTGACCAGTTACCAGTTATCAGAGGAGGATCATGATCTTTCTTCCTAGAACTTTACCATTTGTGCAAGTGGCTATATTGCCTCGCAAGAGGGTAGTGTGAAGATTGCCACCATTCCAATGCCTGGGCAGTGGTTGGGTGTGTGAGTTAACACGTCCTGGCTGGAGAGGAGGGGGAGTCATCTCTTGCTGCTGCACGGGAGTCTGTACAGTTGCAGTTTGGACCTTGCTGTCCCTTTTCTTTCTTGGAGATTCTTCTCAGTTCCCTTTGAACAACTAATTATCCCTAGTTTCAGTTAATGGCAGCCTTTGTGTGTCGGACTTAGGCTTGGCCAACATTTTGACATCATAACATGTTGTCACCTACAATGTTCATGTAACAACTATATAAAATACCAAAAAAAAATTTTTTTGACAGGAATGATTTTGGGGTCAGGAAGAGCTATTTTGGGTTGTGAGTAGCAGATTTAAGAAGCCAGAATGGGAATGAGGAAGGAATAATGTTAGAATTGGTATTGAGGGCATGTGTGGTCCTGGGACATTCTTAATTCTAAGGCAACCCTCTTATTATTTCTGATCTAGACATAAATCTGATGTTCAGGGTTAAGTGCTAGAGACAGGAAATAATACCATCTATGTTTGGTGCCAAAGCTTCTTTCTGCTTAGCACACTGCAAATTATAAAGCAGAGATGAAAGCTGAGCTGAATTCTAGGCCTCCTGTCTTAAGCGTATTTCTGGGCAGACAGAATACTCTGAAAAAAACAGGGATATTTCCTTTTTGTGGGGTAGGGGAATGACTGATGATAAAAGGATAGCTAACAAAAGGGGATGAAGAGAAAGAACACAGTGGACTGTATAAACAGGAAGCTTTTGTGTCAAAAGCTTGTTCTGTTTGGATGAAATAGCAAGAGGCTGGGATATCTATTTTCATTAGCTCTTCTTTTTTGTGAACACATTGTCTGAGAAAGGTGATGGGGTTTGATGAGGGTTTTGCTTACGGGGTAGAGGAAGGGGTTCGGTGTAGAGCGGTATACCGGGTCAGGTGTAGTGAGGCGACATATCACCTTTCTGGACCCATGCTGAGTGCTAAGCATTTGCCATTTTGGAATGTGAGTCTTCCTTCCATCTTGGGCCCAGAGTTCAGTGAACCTGGTTTGAGGGTTATAAGATCTCTGGATATATCTGCTTCTCACCTTGATGCTTGTAGGTCACTTCCCAACTTAATCACCAATTGCTTAGGGGCAAGAAGATGTGGGGATGGAATACAGAATCTTACCTTGCACAAGCTCCTGTCATCTTTGACAACTGACACTTTTTTCTGGGAAGCATGCTGTCCTCCTTTGGGGAACTGGAAGGAAGAGTCTTATTCTAACCAAGTTCCAGAGCATCAAAGTGAGTGAAGGAACGAGAGCTCCCCCCCCACCCCGGTTTTGATGGGAAACAGAGCACTGCTGAACCCTCTCCCATTTTGTAGTCCATTTCGAGCTCCGACTCCTAGAGAAGGAGTGATGCAGGGATTATTGTTCTACACAGAACCAAAACCCCAGAGGTCTTTACAAACCAGCCTGCTTGTTTGTGGCAAAACATTGTGGCTTCTAATTAGTGAGTGTTGAGCCACACAGAGGAATTCTCATTTCTGTGCTGCTCTGAGGGTTAAGATATATTCTCCTAGGGGTTGGTTTTGAATCCTGCAACTGAAGGACCTGGAAGTTTGCTCTCATTAGAAAGGCCGTAGGTAAAGTGACATAGTTACATAGTGCTTAGCCGCAGAGCCTGCATGGTCTTGACCGTGCTCTGCTCAGCTGGTACTGTGCACTCCTTGCCACGTCCCATCGCCACTTGACACAGTAGCCTTCCTCTGTTGCTGGTACATTCTACTTACCTTTCTTCTAGTCTTTGGGACTACTGTGTGTGCCTTACAAAATGGAACAAACAAAAATAATCCAGCTCTGCTCTTCCCTTTCCTGTCCTAGCTCATGTTCTCCCTGGTTCCTGTGGAAATGGATTGATAATTATCTCTGAGCCAGGAAGCCTGGTTTTTGCTAGCTGTGCATTGGAATATCATTAGTCTTGTGCTGTTAACAAAACTATATATAATGAAGTACAAATTTAGTGGATGCCGCTTGGAGAGATCCTAGACTTTTGGAAATGTGATTTTTTTGTTTGTTTGTTTGTTTGTTTGTTTGAGAGGGTGTGTTATTTGGCATGTGCTTAATTAACCAAAGGCTCATCCTCTTAGAGGCACTTTCTAGAGCAGTCTCTGCTTTGTAAAACCTCTCATATGCATTTGAGGCTACTTTAAGAAAAATTAGGGGCAGGGTAAGGTGCACGCCTGTAATCCCAGCACTCAGGGAGGCAGAGGCAAGCAGATCTTTGAGTTTGAGACCAAAAAAGAAAAATTAGGGATGTCCTCCTCTGGGAAGTATGTATGGAGGATGTCAGTTGAGAAAGGCTGAAGTCACCCAGAAACAAGACCAAAGGACCAGGATGTCAGGGCTAGTGAAGGGCTGGCCTTAGGCAAAGATGGATACTCTTCTCAGTTATTTTAAAGGATTTTATTTATTGTATGTGGTTCCACAAGGGTAAAGACAACGATGAACAAACCAGGTGGGCAGTTTGACATGAAGGTCAAACCCATGACATGGGCCAGGTGATGTGCTTTTGGAAGATGACAAGGTAAGAATGAGGACTATGGTGTGGTGATGGCATATGTTGAAGCTGTGTAGCTGCTTTTGGTGGTGTGAGTTCATGGACAGCCTGAGCTATGCAGTGAGATCCCGTCAGAAACACCACCCCCGATAGTAGAGTAGAAGAAGTTGTGCCATGGGATGTCTGTTTTCATTACCTGTGACAGGACTGGGTGATGTTGCAGGGTATAGCTGCTCTCTCTTGAGCACATGAACTTACTGAGAAAAACCTCTATACGTTACCTTCTAATCCTCTACTTTGGCTGGGTCCAGTGTTGAGGGTAGTGTCACATGGCAAGGTTTCCAGTTTAGGAGAACTGAGGAAGGACAGAAGACCACTGGTTAGATATAAGGTGCAGGAAAGGGAGGTACATGTCAGGAGGTGTGAGTAGAATCAGAGCTGTCTTCTTTAGTGGAGTTATCACTGCCAGCAGCTCTGTTCTATCCCCTCATAGGGATGCTATTCCTGGTGTTAGGGCTCACGTCTAGCATGCCCATTTTCAGTTTTGTAGACCGCTGGGAGAGGAGCCAGGCCTGTGAGTTGACTAATAGCATAAGAAGGGCATAGAGTTGAATCACAGTTGCAGTAGCCCTAGCCCAAGTGACCCAGGCCTTTGGTTGGGACAGCACAGAACAGTGAGGGGAATCTGGAGGGGACCTAGGCAGAGACATCTGAGGGCAGAGAAAGGTGCAATCTGCCACGCTTTGTGAAATGCCTTGGTGTGGGTCCTGGAATAGTTACCAGGGTGAGAGTGTAGGTGGGGGAGGTATTTTCCAGAGCCACTTTGTGAAGAGCCCTGGGTTCTGTGCCTTTGTGATTACCGTGCTTCAATAGTGTAAGAAAGTTGTGGAAGGATGTCTGGACAGCCAAGAACTTGTTATCATGGCTGATGAGGAAGAGGTTGTTGTCATGCCTAGATAAGGATTGGAGGGAGTTGCTAGAGCTGGGTCAGAAATGGGGGAGCAGTGAAGTTTCTGCCCAGGGTCCTGGCTTATTGGTTGCAGTGAACCGGGCCTCAGTTTGCTCTGCATAAGCAGATCTGATAGACCACTATCGGGAATGAGTGATGCTGCCTCTCATCAGGAAGGTACTGATAAGTTTAGAGCCAGGAGTGGAGCAGGGGCGCAGATGGGGCTGTGGAAAGAAGCACCTTTGTTGGCATCGGGCAGACAAGTTTGAAGCCAGCCAGTTGGCCTCTTTGCCATTTTGTTATTTACAAGACTTGGACCTGCCCATCACAGTCGTGATAGGTACTGGATATTCCCTTATACTGGGGTCTGTCTTTTGCTTTCATTTAGAATTTTTTTCTTTTCTTTTTTTAAAATTTATCCTGTGTGAGGGCTAGTGCTTTTTTGGATTCGGCATGTGTATAATCTTTTGCCAGTGGGAAGGTATGTTTTCTTTACACTGGTCTTTAAGGAGGGAAAAGCTATGTGGTTATTGAAGGATTTGCTCTGGGCTTCTCTAGCCATGTCGCCTGCGTGTCATGGAAGCCGTGTGGGAACCGCAAGGTGGTATATTTCTTTCAGTGCTGTTGTGTGTGTGTGTGTTTCAAAACTAAGGGCCTTAGAGATAGTAGGCGGATACTCAACCAGTGAGCAAATCAGGATGGGTTTCTACACCATTGAATTTGTGTAGCTTCGCTCTGGACTA